ACATCCACATCTTACTTGAAGCACATGAAGGTGCTCAAATGCTGCAGTAGGTAGGATGTGGTAACTGCTTCTGGCCATTACTCAGGCATCCAGTGATCATGAAATCATCTAGTGCTCTCATGGAAGGTCATTTATAATGAATCCCCAAAATTATGTAACATAATTTATGTTACTCCTTATTTATATTTTATATTAACTATACACTATACATTATTTATTATATATTATATATTATATATTATATATTATATATTATATATTATATATTATATATTATATATTTATTATATATTTATTATATATTTATTATATATTTATTATATATTAATTATATATTTATTATATATTTATTATATATTATATTACTCTTTATTTAATAATGAGAAAGAAAAAAATCAGTTTTACAGATGAATGGACTTTATTTTTTCTCCTTTTTTTTCTCCTTTTTTTTCTCCTTTTTTCTCCTTTTTTTTTTTTTAAAGAATCTTTTGCACTGTTTTCAGTTTTGATTGCTTGAAGGGCTAAATTAAGCATGGCAGGTATTTTAGTGGGGGCTCAGCTAATGGTCTATCTGGAGATGTAATGAAGCACTGAAGTATTCTTCCCCCTGGGAGGTGAGAGTGCTGGCTGTTACAATACCTCACTTCTCTCATGCTTGACAGTTGAATGCCTACTTTAAATAATGGCAGGAAGTCCAGAGCTTTTCCAAATTCTCCTTTCCTTGCAGTGTGCCGGATGCCCTGGCACCAGAGAGCCTTTGAAACCTTCTCCTGTTTCTTCCACACCTGATGGTGATTGTTGGGCTGGAGATTTATAGCTGGCCTGAAACTCAAGGCTTCCAAGGAGCTGAAGTTACAGAAGCTCACAGTGATGCTGGATTCCCTGGAGGGGTGGTGCTGTAGCCATCTGATAGCTGCCAAGCAGCAAAATGAGATGGTAATTTCTGCATTCCAGTGGTGCAGAGCTTCTACCACCAAAACCAACAACAGGGCTCAAAGAAAAAGCTGTTTAGAGATCTTATCTTCTGGACATGTTCTTTGTGTGCTGGGGCTCTAACCACATCAGTGGCATTGCTGCCATCAATGGAATATCTCCTCTGATAGTTTATCCTGGGTAGAAGGACTTCCAGAGTGGAGATTCAGTTTCTTATCTCTGTGAGGAAGCCACCAAGAAGCCATGATCAGGCAGGAAAAGTGACTTCCACACCTGCTCCCATCCCATCAGCACAGAGAAGAACTGATAAAGCCAATACCTTCATGGGGACATTTCTAAAACACGTTTGTGGCCTGAGACGTGTTTGCTTCCACAGAATGTCAGAATCACAGAGTAGCTGAGGTTCTCTGGTCTGGTCTCTTGCTCAAGCAGAGCCAGCTACAGCAGATTGCTGAGGACCTTGTCCACCTGGGTTTTGAATATCTCCAAGGATGGAGACCCTACCAGCTCACTGGAAAATCTGTGCCGCTGTTCTATGGCCCTCACTGCAGGACAGATTTTTCTCATGTTCAGAAGGAACCTTCCATGTTTCAGTTTGTGCCCATTGCCTCTTGGCTGCCACTGGGCACCAGAGAGAAGATTCTGGGTCTGTCTTCTTCGCTCCATTAGGTACTGATCAGATCCCTTGAGCCTTCTCTCCTCCAGGCTGATCAGTTCCAGCTCTCTCAGCCTCTCACAGGAAAGATGCTCCAGCCCCTTCATCATCCCTGTCCTTTGCAGGCTGTGCTTGCTCCAGCACTATGGAGGTCTCAAAGCACACATAAAACTCTAAAACAGCCCCTTTTCTGCCCCCTTGTTGCCTCCTCCTTAAGAAACAAGCAGTATGGGAGAGCCAAGAAAAAAAAAAAAAAGCAAGTTCTTTATAGGAATTTGCAGAAATTGAAGCAATTGAAGGTTTTGTTCCTGCTTTCTCCTTTCCAACCAAAACACAACATTCAAAGTGACACTGCAAAATGACAAAACAAGTGTTCCTGCCAATGTAAATAAAAGGGGAGATAAAGCTGGAGATGATTGATGGCTGTGGAAAGGAGAAGCTACTGGAGATACCTGTAAGGAGAGCCATCAAGCTTTATTAACAAAGACATAAAAATATCTCGTCAGGGATAAAGCTCCCTGATGTAATAACAGTGAAAAAGAAAAATTTATTCCAGAGATGAAATTAGTTCAACGTCTGAACAATATTTTCAAACTGTGGAATACTCCCTCAGTAGTGATTCTTCCTCTCATTAGCCTTTTGCTCGTTATTCTTTCTATTACTATCATCATCAGTGTCCCTGTTCAGAGGTAAACCTGTACTGAGAGTAATTCTCAGACAAGTAAAGAAAGGATTTATGTGGAAAAGGGAGGAATTAGGAAAATCCTTTGGCAGCAAATGTATTTTTTTTTTTTTTCTTAAGAACAGAAGAAGAGGAGAATCGTGGAATTACACTGTCAAACAACCAGCCCAAAATCTGAGCAAAGATAGAGTATAATTTATTTTGTGAAATGCTAATAAGTAATAAGCTAGGGGAAAAAGAGATTAGGAATGTCTTTGACAATATTAAATTATGTTATTAGGTCTTGAATTATCTCCTTGAAATTGTTAGGAACAGCACATATGCATATTAGCTTTTGGGTGCCTTGCATCCTGGAAAAATAGAATGTTCTGGCATAGCCCTATACATGAAAGTTTTCTTGTTGGTTTTTTTTTTTTCACTAAGACACCCAACCCAAACCTTACAAATTATTTTTACTTTAAAGCTTTTTGCAGTTTAGCAGATTGTACTGAGAGGAATGTTTTTACTGCTATTTTATGAGTCCCTAAAAGAGTTTTATAAGACAATTTTGAACTAAAGCATCTTCAATAAAGTATAAAATAATGACTTTGTAGGATCAAACCCCTATAAATAATGGCTACTTCTACAATGGCTGTGAACAGGTTTAATGTATCAATCATGAACATAGACAGGCCAGTCAGTAAAAGAGGGAGCCTTTTACTTTTTCATGCTCAAAAATTGTAAATGTTGCTTTTTCATAGCTTTTGACTTGATTTCTCTCTCCACTCCTGTTTAAGGGGATAGAAGCTGCTTTATTAATTGCTCTTAGAAGAACAGAGCAGGGCTGTCATAATGACTCACTCAAAGATGTATTGAAACAATAATTTGTGACTAATACATCCAATTATTTGCTCAGCTATAGCCATGACAGTTCCAACCTCTCGTGTTGCTTAAAATTTATTACTTTAATAGTGCTGCAGATTAAATTTAAATATTCATTTTAATAACAATTCTATCTATTCTATCAAAAAATGCCATTAGATCATAGTAATGGAGAATTAAAAAGCAGATATATTTGTAAGAAAGTCCTACATAATTCTTTAAAAAATGTAAAAATTTAAAAAGGAATGTAAAAAATACTTTAAACATTAACCAAGCAAAAATTACTTCTTTTATCTTCTTTTGGTGACCTTCATATAAAATGTAATAAGTTGCTGAATGTCTATAGTAAGAATTTGAAGAATGATTCAAAAGAAATCCCAGAAAAAAAACATTCGCCATTATAATAACTATTTGCACATTTTACAAGGATATCTGTGGAACTCTAAAGACTTTTTCTCCATTACATTATACAAAAACATTGATAATGGATTTGGTACATATTTCTACATGTATTTATATGTGATTGTTCATACACATATTTGTGTGTTTGTGTGTATTTATGCATTGCCTTGTGGATTTACACTGGAACGTGTTTGCTTTAAGAGATTAAATACTTACACAGGAGTCATGAAAGCCTTATCATGGACTCACTCACCATCTGTTCAGTGCAACTGACTTCCAAGAGAAAGCAGAGGGCAGCATGGAAAAGGTTTGTTGCAAAGAAATCTTGCATTTCATTAATCATATGAGCAGTATTCCTTTGTTTAGAGCTTTAGTGTAGTACACAATAGAAAGGATTAGTTGAGTATAGAAGCTATTACTGAGCTACAAGATAAAATAGCTGGTTTTCTCATTTTGTTCTCTGTAGACAGTTGCACTTTTTCATATTTGAAGTACGCTTTCCTCTGGCATCCTGACATTATAAAAACTTCCTTCAAGCATGTGGAACCTTGTTTCTCCATTTCATCTCTCTGCTCCATGAAAAAGAAGAGTAATTTTTCATTCCAAGGAGAGCTTTTCCTTGGAGAAGGAAGTTTTCTGTGTGCTCATCTGAGCAGATAGAAAACTCATGATGCAAGAGATTAGTATGATAAACAGTATTTGGAATGAAAAATTTAATGAACACAGATATTATCAGAGTTGTTCTTTAGCCCCAAGTGAAGATTAATGACATGTGTTTTGCATTTTATGATACACTTTTGGAGAACTCCTAATTAGTGGAAAATACTTCCATTCTCAGAAATTCGCAGTCCTTGCTGTTGAGTAAGGTTTTGTGTAAAACTAACAAGATTGAATAATTATTTCTTGGCTGTCACTTTGTAGTTATTTAGATGACCTCAGCTGGTTACTTCATGCATTCAGTACTTATTGTTTCGAAGCTTTTCCTATCTTCAGGCAACCTTCCATGTCTAAGGACACCTTAAAAAACAAGGTGAAAAGCAATAAACAGCAATGTTTTGCTGTCAATATCTAATAACCCTACTTTTATTGGATGCTGACTTTAAAACAACCTGTAATACTCTATTTCCTAAGTAAGCCCAAGATCACCAAATGGTCCTCCAGCCATGCATTCCTTCAGGAACAGTTTGCTTTTGTTCACTGTTGGGTTGTTTTCCCCTTACAACCAGAGTCATGTTTTTACAGATCATATCTGTTTTCTGAATAAGCACAACATTACCAAATGCTTCTCTTTATTATGGGTTCTGAGAACGTGTAGATTGCAATAACAAATAAGAGGGTTTTTAAAACACAACAGCAGAGAGTGATGAAGGGATGGGATGGGTTGGAGCAAATCTGTGCCACTGACGGCACAGATAAGGACGTGGGAGCTCAGTTCAGGCAGACACTGTGAGAGCAGGAGAGAACCAAACTGTTGTGTAGGCCCTCTCCTAATCAATGGATCACTTTGCTTTTGAATAAAATCTGTGAAAGAAATGGGGAAAAAGGCCACAAAATACCACCTAGAAACATATTTTATGACAAAGAAACAGGGTAAGATTCCATATTTTTTTTCATGTTTGAAGAAAATTATTTTCCTTAATTACTTTCAATAGAGATCTTAAAATCTCTACTTACATTTTAAATAAGATAGTTTCTATTGCTTTAATGTGACAAATCCATCTAGGATTAATCAGTGGTGCAGTTCATGGCATTAAAGTGGGGTGTATCTATTTCCCTAGTTTTGCAGTACAACTTTGTGACGATCCATGATTTTCTCCTTGCCTTGATTGGTGGTTTAGTACATTCAACAAACTCCACTAAAAAAGCTCATCTAACTCTCTTCCTGAATTCCCTCTTACTTGCCATTGGTGGTGAGAAAGTTCAGAAAAATTACTCTAAAACATTTTTGCCTATATCTTGGTTTTTCAAACTAATTTGGCAAAACATAACCAGAAAGTATTCAGGCCAAAGCGACTCACATTAAACAGCGCTTATTTCATAGTGCCTGACTCATTTTGAAAAGTCCTTCCACCACAGGGAACTACAGGGGAGGGAAGTGCTTTGGCAGGAATTATGTCTGCTCAAGATAGCTGCAACCCTGACTTTTGATAACAGGGGCACAGCATCAGTCCCTACCTGGATACCAGATAACTGCAATTGTCCCCAAATCCAAGCACAGCAAATTAAATTGGTGTGTGTGCATGCACACATGAACACACAAAAATGGGCAGTAGTTCACCCCAAACAGTTTAAAAATTAACACTTTTCTCCCTGGTTTACTTTCCATTCAAAATATGTTAATTTTTCTCAGTTAAATCACTTATCCAGTGGCTCCTGTACTTGGGCAGGTGAACCTCTGCAAGCTGCCCAAAGAAAATTAGAAAATGCTAAACCTGTACAACATACTCCTTTATTTATTCTGTACTATATTCTTTTATAGGTGCACCAAACCCAGGCTTCAGTGAGAAAAGATGGTTGAGTGAACACTACAGCTGTGGAGCTTGTAAAGTTTTCAGGCAGATTCTGTGGTGGCAGACTGTCACATCCCTTAGTGGCCACAATTCCAAGTAAGTAAAGCATGATAGACAAGTTGCCAGTGTATGTCTGCAGGAGAACCATGCTAAGTTTTATATTCTGTTCCTGTAAAAGCAGCAGCAGCAGCACAGAGAGCCATTAAACTACAGCTGTGTGACAAGAATTTCCTTTATGAACATGAAAGGGTGATGCTATCTGTATCATTCATCAAACAATAGCTTTCTGTAATCCATTATAATAGATACTCCCAGACTAGGAGAAGAAGTAGAGGGTTAGAGAGCAAAACAGGATTGAAACACCTTTATAATAACCCTGGGTTTCTACCATCCCCCTGCTGTGCAGGTTAATGGAGGTTGCTCAAACAAACAGAAATATTTTTATGGGCTGTGAAGTTAGGCTTGTGCTACAAGGAGGAGAAATGGGGGAATATTCCAGAAACATGGAGGTTTCAAGAAGCTGCAGCTGATTATCTGTTCATTATCACATTTTTCAGCGGTTTCTCTCCATAAGTGTGAAAATGTCTGAAGGGCTGTGGTTCTTCCAGCTCCTAGATACTGAAGCTCATGATAAACTGCATGGCATCTCCTTCACTTTCCCCAATTTTCTCTCCACATTTACACCAGCCAATTGAGGGCCATTCTTTGTTTGCAGCAAAGACACTAAAGCTCCAGGTTATGTTTGTGGAGTGCAGCCAGGAATAGAGAGCAAGGAAAGACAACATTCATGCCTGGGAGTTTTTTGCTTTAAAAATCTTACACAGACACACAAATTAAGTACTGATAGACATTTAATTATTTTTTTAAAGATGCTGTAACCATACCACTGGCATTTTATCATCAAAACACAAAGATGTATGTTGCAGCAGTGATATAAAAATGCTGACATATGTAGAAAAAATGTAAGAAATCCTTTACTGTTTGAACCAATCCAGAAGTCAAAACTTTTTAAGTTTCTTTATGTTGGTACTTAGAGTAGTTGAAATTCAACTGAGAGTAATTGAAATTCACGCCAGTAGTTGAAATTCACACCAGTCACACCAGTGAAAGTGCTGGGTGACTTCTCTTATACAATTTTAAAACTGATTAAAATCAGTTTAACTGATTTTAACTAAGCTTCAAAGTATAGAATGTCTGAGCAGCTGGAGTACATAACACAGGGTGTATATATATAATCTTTGGCTATATCACTACAGCTTTTTGCAGTCTGAGATGACAGAAGGAAAAGACTCTGTAAAGCAACCACTGATGCAAAATCTACATTAACGTTACTTGGAACACACACAAAAAAATGAATTTTTAAAAATGATATGAAGGAGAATTTAAGGCACATCTTTTTCCAAGTTAATGCATTTTTTTTTTCCCTAAACACAACCTGAGGGATGTCTTTGCTTATCAAAGTTCCTTCTCACTTCCACACACAAAATTCCACTCTTATAATCCTTCATTTGGGCCAGATTGACATTAGATGAACGCAGAATTATCTTTACTGAGAGACAGCAGAATTTGCTGACGGATTGAATCATCCTCACGCAGTCTCGCACCTCTGTGTGGCAGATACTGCTGCAAACTCAAAAATGTTCCTCAGGGTGTCCCTTGTGCAAGATGCTGTGCTAAAGGAGCTGAGGAGTTAGCACAGGGGGTGTTAGGCAGTACATAGCTGGGGCAGCACACATTTTTCAGGCTCTCAGTACTTTTCCCTGCAAGCCTCATGCCCCATTACTCGTGTGCTCTATCCTGCTGAGACAGACAGGCTGTGGGATTTTTCCCTCCTCCACCCCCTACCTGTCAGGATATTCTTTGCTGAGCTTTGTGTCATGTGGCATTAGGAGAGCTTTGTTCTCAGAGCTTAATTCTCTTTCTCCAAGTCTGCTCTGGGGTGACGTTTACAAACCAATGCACTTGCCCTTTGGGTAGCCCCTCACAGGCATCTCGTGTCCAACAGGAATTACAGATCATTTTGCTCTGAGAAGGAGCTTCAGCTGTGCTCAAGGAAATTCAGGAATAAACATGCACCACAAGACTTAGTCCCCTTTTCAGCAATAGCTTTCTCCATGTATGCAACAGTTCACCTCTTCCTACTAATGTGCATGTTCAACATAGAATTTACACTTCAGCAGAGGAGTAAAGGCTTTTTTCAGTCTTCTAATTACAGATTGTGTTTTAAAAGTTTTATAATAAAATTGAGAATATATTTCTGTATGTCACGGCCAACAACAGCCTCATCCAACCAAGCTTCTGTAAAAAATATTTTCATTTGTCTACTAACAACTACTCCCTTTCCCCACCTGAGTTCTTTGTGCTTCTCTGAACAACATGGTTGTAACATGCTACTGGTATTTATTTTCTTTGTACCAGTATAACTTCCTATTTAAAGCAAGAGCCCTTAAATAGCAGTAATTAATGAAAAAAATTCTCCCATGAACTTTCATTTGGCTATTCTGACCATATTACTTACATGTATGACATAATGCTTTGTGTCATTAGAAATTAAGAAATGAAAGGGTGAAGCATGTACAGTACTATAGCTAGAGACAAATTCCTAACACTGCTCCCTTCCACATAATGTCACTCCCATAACTAGAAAAACAAAAGAGAAAGAAGTGTTTTATTTTGAAAATATACAGAAATAGGATAGAGGAGTGAATCATTGTACAAACAAATGGAAATGCTTCTCTGGAAATTAAACACTCTGGCTGCATTTGAAACCTGATTGTTTGAAAGAAGAAGCAAACTGTGTTTAACAAATGTTTATCCACAAAGCCATGGTGAGTCTCCTCAAACATGATATTAAATAGCAGGACAGCTATTAAAGATTGATAAATTGCTGTAAGTACATTTTTTTCATTTGAGAGTTTGGATTTATTCCTCCTTGTAAATGTCTCCTAGAGAGATCACTGTAGAATAAGTAGTTTATATCTGATTCCTATAACCCACAATGCACAATGATGACTTGTGATTCAACTTACAAGTAACCTCTACATGGAAATCTCCCTTTGATGTTTTCCACTGATTTTTTTGCTGAAAAAGCAATTGGAAGTTTTTTTTCTCTTTTCTGCTGTTACAGTAGAAACTTGACAATAGGTAACTACTGAGATTTTTCCCTGCTGTGGAAAATGCACAGCTTCAAAAAGAAAATAACAAAGGTCTCATAAAAGTGGTCTGTTCAAATAAATCACTAGATCAACGCCCCCATAGCATTTCTAGGTCATTTGTGAGTAGCAATGTTAATCAAGCAATATTGAAAAAGAATAAATTGTTCAACTTAAAGAGAGCTTCCCCAAAGCCATCACCAGGCTTGGAAACACTGGCACCTCCAGCAGTGATGAGCACACTGGTGATGAGTGAATGGTTGCAATCAATGATCATAGAGGTCTTTTCCAACCTTAGCGACTCAATGATTCTGTATTTGTGCATGCTTGGTTTTATAAAGGTGCATTTTTCAATGGAGGTAAGAACTTTTAGTGATGACACAGAGAGTGCTAAAAGTAGCATTATAGATCTGCTCAGTGTTTACCTCTCAATTCCATAGCCTTCACTAAATTTCTAAATATTTTTCTTTACTGCTGTGTCCAGTTCTTTTTCTGGATCAGTCCTGGTGGCCCCAGTAGGAAAGAGCACAGGGACAATGTGAGAAAACTTTGTACCCTGACTCAGTTATTCTGATTTATACTCTATAAAATGAGTAAGGGGTGCAGAACCCTTAGAGTGTCATGATGCTTTTGATGTGACTTTTGGAGTAAGAGAAGGCGCAAACCACAGTACTGATGCAGGTATTATTTAATGTTGCAAATATGAGTTTTTGGTCAGTTTTATTTATTTCTATAAAGACAAAAACCCCAGTAACTTCCTAATAATTATCATTCACTAATTGTTTCCTCCATATAAATATACTGTCCTTCAGAAAGTCTCTGCTCCCACGCTTGAGATGAAGACTATTTTCCGCTCTGATAACGCTGCTTCCATTCTCTCACTCATTCATATGCACATGCCATTTGGTATCAGTTTTCTGTTTGATGGCACAATAAAAGTCACCTAATTAGGTAACAACAACTTAATGTATTAACTACATCCTTGTAAAAGCACGAGAAATTTGTGGGACAGGTTTACTGCTGATGTTTTACTACTGTGTGCTCCCATTTCCTTCAGTTGTGTTTTGACCCTGAGCAGCATTAAAGGTGAAATTCTGATCCAGTGTGGAAATCAGTTGTGAACCTGAAATGAATTTAAGAGCCTTGGGATTTCTCATCCAGATCTCCACACGGCCATAACAGGAGTAGTTCTCATGAGAAAGCCTGGCTAAACCAGCCCTCTGTGGGCAGTAATATTTTATACACAGGATGTGTGCATACACTCCTCTTTTAAACAAATTTGGAAGAACAATAGCAGCCTAACTCAAGGACTTGGAATATGGGAAATGCCAGAAAGAGGATTCTCCATATAGCTTCATTTCAGCCCCCTTGTGTGCTTTGGTAGTCAAACCTGTTGGTTCCTGGGATATTTTTGTTTTCCCTCAGACCTCAGTGAATCACAGGAACTCTGACAGAATGGCAAGTTGTTCAGTATATCACTGTGAGGACTCCAGTGTCCCTCCCATCTCTAATGCTATTTAAACACAGTTGAGAGAACTATTTACTTCCTCAGATATTATATCATGGCACTAGTCATTTTTTTTTCAGTGTATTTATTCTCACAGAACCCATTATTCTCAATATGCTCTCAGAAGCTGGACATGCAGAATTAAGAATGTCAGGGTTGATAATTTAGGGCGTAGGCTCTGAAATACCTATTCCAAAACATCAAGACTATGGTTATTAGAGGTCAACAGCACATGGCAAAAAACAACAACAAAAAAAAAAAAAAAAAAAAAAAAAAAAAAACCAAAAAACACACAACCAAAAAAACAACCAACCAAAAAAACCCCAAAAAAAAACCAAAAAAAAACCCCAAAAAACCCAAAAAAACCCCAAACAAAAACAAAACAACAGAGACCAAACCAACCAAGCAAAAAACCACCAACTCACCAACTCACCAAC